GGCACAGAGCGTGGTGCACTGCCCTTCCCCAGGGCCAGGGCTGCTCCCAGGGCTGGGAGTGGAGGTGAGGAGTGTACGAGGGTGCATCAAGGTAATGCTTTTCTCCTCTCTGCAAGCTCCTCTCCCGGCACTCTGCACCCTGCATGGGCATCCATCATCCGTCATCAGCGCTCGAGAGGGGCCGTGGGAGGGAGGGGAGGTGACAAAGCCACGGCTCTTTGCTCCAAGGACCGAGGAGCAGCCGTCCCCTGCGCACGTGCAGCTCTGCTCCGTGCCAGCCTCTGGCACCTCCTGGGAGCGCACTGCCTGCTGCTCAGCCTGCTTGGCTCTGCCTCCTTCCGTGCTCCTTGGAGCAGGAGCCGGGCTCCCCAGGGGACTCTGGGAGAAGGAGCTACATAAACATCTCTGGCCAGAAGTCAGAGCGGAAGCTGCAGGAGTGGGCTCTGCTGTGGCCTCTCTGAGCCAAAGCTCTCAGTGCAGGATGAGTCTCCTGGGCCTTGTGCTTACCTCTTGCCTGGAGCTGAGAGCCACCCAGGGCTTGAGCAGCTATTTACAGTATTGGTGCTGGACCATCACCATGCTAAGGCAGGGCTTGCCACACTTGAGCATCCTGTGGAGCCATAGGATGCGGCACCTGAGCCTGCTGTGGTTTTATTTGCCTTGGGTCAAGCGATAACCTCACCCTAGTTCTGCTGCCCGTGCGGCTCATGCTCACGGCCCTTTGCCCTGGGGCGGATGCTCAGCCACCCTGGGATGGCACAGGCTGGCGGCTCTCCCCCATCTGCTGTCACGCAGACACCTGCAGCCGAGGACCTGGTTTTGTGTTCACTCCTAACTGCTTTTTTTTCTTCCCCTCTTTCTGTTTTGGCGGACTGAAGAGCGAGAAATACATCGATCTGAGAAACTAGAGAGGGCATCTACTAAGTGCTTTCTTCCTTCAAACCTTTCCTGCTCTTGGATTGCCTTGTCCCACCCCTGCTCCAGTACCTGGGGAGCACGGCCAGAGACAATTACTGTGTCGCAGTGCTGAGCCCCGATGTGCGGGGGACACCTCCCTGACTCACCTGTCTGTTACCTCAACCGTGGGCTAGCAGCAGCAAAGCTGGACTTGCTTACTGTTACAGAGAAGCCAACAGCAATATTAGAAAGAAACATCCCATTAAGCTACCTGGTGGAAGGATTTTTCAGGAAATCTGTCCTGTATACGTGTGGGAAGGTTTTGATGCATTTTACCCCAAATTTGCTTGGAAAAGCTGGTGAAATTTTACTTTTACTTTTGGGACATCCCAGGCACCTTAGATGTAGCAGTGTGCAGGTTAGATGAGCAAAGAATGGAAGTGGTGTGTTAAGAGCGGCGTTTGCCAGCTGCTGGGGAGGTGTTAGTGCTTTGCTTTTCCTTTGAACTGTTCTTGTCTTGTTGGTTTAGCCCAGCATGTCCTGGTGGTGTGGTGCAGGTAGGGAGCTCCACGATGAGTAGCTGTGATCCTACGGGAGGCGAGTACCTGGCAGAGCAAGGACAGGGGTGCCCATCGCTCGGGCACATGCCAGACCAAGGGCTTAGGTGCTCTGGGTTGTGGTGTAGCCGTGCAGATGTGGGAGGGGGCTTTCCTCTCCCCATTGCCCAGGGAATTGGATTGCTTTTAGGGGGGCTGCACAGCTGGTGACAACAGCGGGTCCCAGAGCCGCCTCTCGCAAATTTAAAGGCATTTTAAAGAATATTAGGCCAGGGCCAGTTGGTGATGTCTCAGGGTTTTTTTTGTGCTGAACAATTACTAGCCCCAGGTAAAACTGATGTATTTCTGTGCTTTGGTGGTACCTCTGGCCCCAGAACCATGCTGGTGCTACAGCAGCTGAGTGATGGAGAGGGGAGACAGGCAAGCAGCTTGCCTTCAGCTTCTGCTGCTATGGCCTATCCCAGCTCTCTGCCTGCAACCACGGCTCGCTCTCCTGCCTCCTCCTAGAGAGAGCAGCCCCCTGCAGCCCCTCCTGCCAATAAGTCATGTACTCTCAGTGCTATGCTGTCCACAAGCCTATCTTTCACCCAGCCCTTCGGCAAGGGGCTGAGGCTAACCCTGGGCGACTGGAGAGATGTCCCCTCACGCACCCCCAGCATCTTCTACCAGTAGCAGGGAGCCGTGCAGCAGCCCGGTGGCCAGCGCCCTAACAAGCGGTGAGCTATACTCGTGAGCTACAATTGTTGTCGAGGCAAAAGCTTTGGTTTATATATATTTTTGTTGAATTGTGTGTACATTTCCAGAAGTTTTGTCTGATACTTGCAAGGTGTTTTTTTTATATATGTGAAAATAAAGTATAAAGTTCAAAGCCGGGTTCTGAGTTTGTTCCCGCTAGCAGCAGTCCCTTTGGGGGACTCCCTGTCCCCACTCGATTTCGAGCAAGTTACCAAGGCCAGGTGGCACCCTTAGGTTTGCTTTCCCAACCCACCTTTAGGTTTGCTTCCACAACAGCAGGACTTTCACCTAGGAAACAGGCTTAGATCAGCAGAGGGTCGGCTCAAACCCTCCTCACTCAGGCCCCTGGCACTCGGGACACCGCTGAAGGTCACAGTGGGCTGGGGGCTGCTGCCCCGGTGTCTCAGCCCAGCATCTCTCTGCAAGGCATCTGCAGCGGCACACGGTGCTGCGGCACAGCTTTTGCCAGAAACAGCCCTTTGCTTCCCGGGTGAAGCAAGCAGAACAGTGTTGGCTTAACATGCCTTTGCACCACAGCTGGGGCAGGAAAATGTCATCTGTGCCCTGGTGATAGATGAGGGTGGTAACAGGCAGTGGACAAGTCCGATACCAAATGCTAAGAGGTAGCGGTAGATAATGGCCTGCGAGGTACAGGTATCTGTTAGAACCTCAACAGGATTATCAACTGCGAGCTGACACATTTATACCCCCTGTAGCTGGTAACAGGCAATTCTGTAGATTCCAATAGGTAATTGTGTTACCAGCTAATACGGACACTAATAAATCTACTAATGTATTCTAATAGATAACTGTAGTATGAGATTGTAATATATAATTATATTGCTAGTGAGGGTAGATACTAAAAGGTAATACTGTCAATAGAATTCAATAGATCCCAACACTAGAATCTATTAGATAGTTGTATTAATAGCTAATATAGATACTAATAACTAGTCATAGATAAGTCTATCCTTAGATTCTAATAGATAACAGACATTATAGTAGATAATTGTATTGATAGCTACTATAAATATTAGTGGATTTTTCTCTTAAAGAATTCTAATAGATTTTAACTGTTATACATATACTAGTACTCTAGGTCCTAATAGATAATTGTTATTGATATAATACATTTTAATTGGTAATTGTATTAATAGCTACTATAGTACTATATACAAATAGGTAGTTAATTTATTAGAAGCTAATAGTAAAAGCTTTTAATAGATAATTGCAGTAATACTAATAGGGATATGAATCCTGTTAAAAGATTCTCATAGATTATGAGGCAAAATTGTATGGTGAGCTACTAAGTATACTAATAGGAAATTCCATTAATGAATTCTAATAGATAATTGCACTAATGACTACTATTGATAAC